TCTGTGCAAACAGACCTATCATGCATTGAAAAAATCATTTGGAACTAATGCCCTAGTCTTTTTACAATAAAGCACTCTCTCTTGTCTACAGGACTTTTTTATGTCACTCGTGATCCAGTGTTTCTTTTTTGTTTTTGTAGAGCATTTTTTAATAACGAATATTTTCGTAAAGAGCTTAAGAATCAAATTTAGAAACAAACAGTAGGCCTCATTCACAGACTCTGAGTTATATACCAGCGACCAATCAATTGCAAAAATCTAGCGGCGGTGGTATACTTATATACATTAGGAAATCAATCAGCTCTATGAGAGTTTACATAAACCAGCACAATGTAGAACAGCTGTTTGTCGCATGTAGCTTCCATGGGAACAAATTTGTGAATGCTGGGGTATACATACCACCCAACATGCCAAATATTTACTACAACATGCACTGTGAGTCTGTGGAGCATGTTCTTGAGTCTTGCAAATCTCAAAAAATGTATATTTTTGGTGACTACAATCTACCTGAGGCAAGTTGGTCGAATGATGGATTTGGAGTGAGAGTTGACTGTCCAGCTGCATCCGCGGCTATTCAGGTTGCTCAATCTTTTGGTTTCTTGCAATTTTTTCAATGTATTAATATTCCTAATCATAGAAATGTGTTCCTAGATTTGATGTTTTCTAATGATAGCAACGTTGTAGTTAGTTTAGCTAGGGATATTATTTTTGATAATAGTTTACATCATGTTAGCTACGAATGCTGTTTAATTATGGGTAAAAGTCAGGGAAGTAAAGGCCTTCAGCTTCATGATCTCTACCATGATTTCCGTAACGCTGATTTTCTGGGATTGAACAATTTTCTAGCTAGTATAAACTGGGAGCAATGCCTTTCACATAATGAGATTAATTTAGCTTTGGATTCTTTTTATGAAATTCTCGAGATGGGTATTGCTCTATATGTTCCTTTAAAAAAATATCACACAAGCACATTTCCAAAATGGTTTTCACAAGAGCTTCGAAGTCTTACGTTCCAGAAAAAGATTGCTCATAAAGCTTATAATAATTCTAAATCTCCTCTTGATTATGTGTGGTTTTCAGGGTTGCGTTCGGAGTGTAAGAGGGTTCGAGAAATATGTTGGGCTCAATACCTTAATAATGTTGATAATGAATTTAAAGCTAATCCAAAATATTTCTGGACATACATAAGGAACTTAAAAAGTTCGCACACCCTTCCTCAATCAATGTTTTATAATGGTCGTTTGGCGGAAAATGGCCAAGATATTGTGGACTTGTTTAAACAATATTTTGAGACAGTTTACACTCCTAGCAATCTTGATTTGGAGGGGATAGTTTCTGAAACGTCTGACGTGAGTTCCGAGTGCTTCAATTTTTCTCATGTTTCCATAGAAGATATTTTTAATAAGATATGTGATCTCCCAAATAAAAATACAAAAGGTCCGGATGGAATACCTAATATAATCCTAAAAAAGTCTATATGTTTATTAGTCAAGCCATTGCATATTCTGTTCAAGAGATCCTTAGATTCTTGTTTCTACCCGGACAAATGGAAACACAGTTTTATTGTACCTATATATAAGAGTGGAGAAATAAACAATGTCACCAACTAGAGAAGTGTGTGTATACAGTCATCCATAGCAAAGCTATTTGACAGTTTAATGGGAGATCAGCTTAAGTGGATTAGTCGAAGTCTGATAAATAGTAATCAGCATGGTTTTTGTTCTGGCCGGTCTACCTCAACCAACTTGCTTCTATATCAAAATAAAATAATCTCTGCTTTAGAAAATTTCAATCAGGTTGATGCGATTTATACAGATTTTTCTAAAGCTTTTGATCGGGTAGACCACCAGATACTCTTAAAGAAGCTTTTCAATATGGGCTTTGGTATCAAATCAGTTAAGTGGGCTAGTAGTTTTCTGTCGGGTCACCTGCAGATGGTCAAAATTGGTTCTTTTCAATCAGATACTATTAATGTCACCTCAGGAGTTCCCCAAGGGGGCCACTGTTCTCCTTTGCTTTTTGATCTTTTTGTTAACAGCATATTTGAGTGTTTTGAGAACAGTGACGGGCTGGCATTTGCAGATGATTTTAAAGCATATAGAATCATAAATTGTATGGATGATCAACGGCTTTTGCAGGACGATCTTGACAGGCTGACGGGCTGGTGCACAGACAACAAGCTTTATCTGAATGTCAACAAATGTTGTTTTATTAGTTTTTTCAAAGGCAAGAAAAAATTTGACACTTCCTATACATTAAATGGCGAAACTCTGACTTATGTCTCCAAGGTTAAAGATTTGGGGGTATTATTTGATGAAAGTTTGAGTTTTGTAGGTCACATTCACAATCTCACAGTGAGTTCGTCTAAACTATTGGGTTTTGTTTTAAGACACTGTAAAAACTTTTCACTTGAAACTGCTAGGAGTGTCTATTGTTCTTTGGTGCGTTCGAAGCTGGAATATGCTTCAGTAGTATGGTCACCATATCATGCAGTTCACAAAGCAACTATTGAACAGATTCAGCACAAATTTCTAAGACATTGTGCATTCAGATTAGGACTTGTGATTGTTGATCATGATTATGCTGCCATTGAAAATCAGCTGAAAGTGAAAACCCTTTCTAACCGGAGAAACTCTGCTGGAATGATTTTTGTTTGCAAGTTGGTCAATGGTATGATTGATTCTGCTGATCTCCTGCTATGCATAAATATAGACACACCGACTAGAAATAGAAGAGGCGATTTTGTGTCTTTTAACATTCCCTATCATCGTACTAACTATGGTCAAAACTCACCAATAGATAGATATTGTAAGTTAATTAATTATTATCACATAGAAATATTTGGTTTAACTTTGTCTCAATTTCGAAATCATTTGTATAGGATTACTTTTTAGTATGTAAATGAAACTCTGAAGTGATACATATTTTTAGATTTAATTCATAACAATCTAGAGTCATAACCATTTTTGTTGTATATTATAACTATTAATGGGGGTTACCCGTAAATAAATAAATAAATAAATAAAATAAATAAATAAATTGCCATCATCTCCAACCTGAAAGATTAAAGTTTACTCCTTGGAAAGGCTCTCTTAAATGTATATTTTACTTTGTTTTTGCCTGTACCTAATCCTTTATTGAATTATCTGCGAATGATGATCAGAGAGTGCTGAGTTTAGAACATAACTTAAAAAACCCTCTACGAAATTATAAAAAATATCTAACAAAGTTGATGAGTTCAGACCTCAGGTTCAGACATTCTCGGGTAGGTCTAAAGATACATTGACTAAAATTATATGCATTAAATAAATCTAATAACTGTTAAACTAGGTGATTTTCCTGATCTACGAAATGCACATTAAAATCGCCTGCAATAACAACCTTTCAGCTTGAAAAATCACAATAAATTACATCTAGCACCTGCTCAAAGCGCTCAATGAAAGTTTCATAAGAACCAAGTCCCCTGCGGTAGATGCACATCACGATTTTTTGACTGTTTCCAGCCATTGCACAGAACTTAATGACCCCTTCAATACTCCTGGCAGACATTCCTGGAACTTCCTTGAAGCCTACTTTACTACAGCTACAGTATATACATACACCACATGTTTCATATCTCTTCTGGCACGTAGTGAGACAAGACTATCCCTCAATTTTAACAAATTGGGTACAATTCTGTGCCAGCCAGTGTTCGCTAAATAACAGTAGTCCAGGCTTCTGGCACACTCCATCCAGAAAGCACTTTATGTCCAATATTTTGTTACTCAGAGACTGTATATTTGGGTGCCATATTGTCAAGACACTATCTGAAGCAGATTTGTTTACTGGCACTATGTTTTGGGGTTGCTATTTTTCTAGGACACTGTACTGAATTTTTGACTTTTCCCTTTCTTGAAGCCACCGTAATGTAGAGAAATTTGAGTTATACACATTATGTTTAATATCTAGATTCAGTTTATATCAGTCAACAAAAAGCCTAGCTCCTTCGTCTGACATCACATTTTGATATGTCTGTGGATCACATTCCATGATGGCAAAGTACCCATATCTTCTCTTAGATGTAATTAGCCTTACCTGGCTCCTTGTTGTAGTCAAATTTGAATTCTGCATTCTTAATTTTTCAATTACAACTTGTTCATCAAGTTGTTCTTCAAGTCCAACAATCTTTATACATGGCCTTTTTTGGTTAGGATCCACACACACAGATCCACTTTTTAAAACCAGAAAATGGTCTTAAATTTGTTTGTTTCTTTGTGCTTTACTTTTGTATTGAATTGAAATTTCAAGAAAAACTATACTAAATGGGCTTAAAATTACATTTCATCAATATTTTCTGTGGTTTTTCACATCTTTTCAATAAGTAGCAAATTTACTAAACTGCCAATAATTTCTTTACCTACGAGCGTGCGGTAAAGTGCACTTTACCGCACGTATTTGCAAATGGAAAGTAGCACTTTACCGCACACTATGCGGTAAAGTCAACTTTACAGCATAGTGTGCGGTAAAGTTAACTTTACAGCATAATATGCGGTAAAGTGGACTACAAAGTGTGCGGTAAAGTGCACTTTACCGCATAGTGTGCGGTAAAGTAGAATTTGATATTTATAATCAAAAATCCTTTTTTTTTCCAGAAAATGGATTTTTGATAATTTCTTAATCTAATCTAATTTCATTAATTAATCTGATTCAATAATTAATTTTATCAATGCCCTTTTTTAGAGATGTAGATGCTCATAGGTAAAATTTTGTACCTAAGACATGCGGAAAGTGCCTTTACCGCTCTTAACGGCTTGACCGAACTCCGCTTCGCGTGCGGTGCGGTAAAGTATCACTTTCCGCATTTGTTAGGTAAATAACTATTACAAAACCCACTTGTGTTTGAGTGCTATAAAGCTTTACCAGCTCATCAAAACCCTTTTTACTCTATTTTTAATTTGTAAAAAAATTCAACACAGCACAATAATTGTTTGCTAAAATTATTTCTTTTTTTAATATTCCAGTTCGGCTGTATCAAATAGTGGAGGCAATGCAGATCCTTTTACAGGAAGTTCAAGTTACACCACAACGCCACAAACAAGTTTCGGTTACTTTCCTGTTTGTGCCTACAGAACTTTTGATGCAGGAGATCCGACAGTTATCCTTAAAAAAATTAAAGAATTCAATGAAAAACTTTCTGACAACAAAGCTACCGATGAAGACTTGGAAAAACTCGGCTTGCTTTGTTCAGGCCCAGTAAATGACGTTTTATCTTACGAGTTGTTGTTTAAACTACTAGACTGGCCCGAAGATATGGTTTTTCCTGTTTTGGATGTAGTTCGGATGGCTGTTAAGGACCCAATCAATAATAATTTAATTGTAGCGTTGAATGATGGACAAATAATGGAAAAACTTAAAAAGTTTATTAGTAATTCTAGTAACGTACCTAACAATACTATTGTGGGGCTTAGGTCACTTTGCAACTTATGTGTTCATGATGCCGGGGAGAACTTGGTCTTTGATAACAGGTAATTTTTAAAATCAATTTAATTAATATTTTTTTTATTATAAATTTTCTAGATTTGACATAGTGGAAAGTATTACTACATTAGGCCAACTCAACAAAAACGGCCAAATAGCTCTTGCAACTCTATTGCTAAACCTTACAATCTTGTCCATAAGAAAAAACGATGATCTTGGTTATTCAGTTTTAGTCCAAGTCTTGCCGGATATAATTACCAAATTTACCGATGTAGAGTCGCATTTTAGAATATACGTGGCTCTAGGCACTCTAGTAACCCAATCGAATTTGCACAAACAAGAAATTGTCAGCAAAGTCAATGGAAATCAAAACTTTTTGACTACTTTGCAGTTGCACAGTTTTGGAGGTAACGATTTGGAGAACAAGAGGGGCAACTGTGTTAAGCAGCTCCAGAAGTTACTTTAACTTTTTTTAATAAATTATGCTAGGAAGAATTTTGTGTGCATTTTAGGTTAATATTAAATTGTATTTCTGCAGCGGAACTTTTTCATTTACAATATTATTGCAGCCATGGTGTTCAGTAAATAAAAATCGTGAATGATTTTCAGACTTTTAATTTGTTTTTCTTTTGATCCCTGGTACTTTGAGACAAAAAAATAAGGGATTTCCAATGTTCGTTTGCAGATTTCATCCATAATCGTCATCCAAATTGAAATAAAAAGACAAACTCGAAATAAATAATTTAATAATACATCTAGTAATACAATATTATGTAACAAAAAATAAATTTGTTTAAAAAAACACAAATAAATCACTTTGCACTTTTTTGGTTGTCAGCTGCGGTACCAGTAATCGACCAGAAGTCTCTCAGGGCACAACCGATACCAATTTGAGTTTGGTTGAAGTAAATCAGGGCTCCAAGTGTCGTGGCAGAAACCACGTATAGCAATGCGATAGCAATTTTCGATAGGATTGGACCTACAACGATCGGCCTGGCGTAATCAATCACACAGGCTTCTAGACCCCTATAAATATTAAAAATGTTTTAATACTTCTAAGTAACAACATGATAAGTAATTAGCTAAAACAAAAAGGCTTCAAAGCTTGAAGGGGCACGTTAATTTATTGAAATGAATTGATTTTTATTCACATACTTGCCATTTTGAAGTACAAAAATAATTATTCTTAGTTTAACTAGTAGTTTACGTATGTGCACAACCAATCAATCATATTGTAATTATTATCTAAACAAAGCATGCAATAAAATAAAACATTAAGTTACAAAAACATCAAATATTACAACAACAAACACACCACATTAAAATCTACACAGAAAACAAACGTTTTGGCTACAAGAGGAATCAAATATGAGTTTGATGCTGAAACTATTGTTTTTGGAGTAGCACTTCTGTGTTTTACCACTGAAGAAGACTAAGTTTGAATAGAAAAACATCATTGTGATGCTGAGAACTTTGGTTTTCGCTTTTCGGCGTAGCACCCCCGAGTTCCAACTATAAAAAGTAATTTTTAATAAAATAATATTGAAATACCGAATAGTTCTAGCTTTGAAAATAATGTAATGTGCCTTTTTTGTTGTTTTTATTCAGAACTATATTTATATTTTATCAAGAACTATAGTGTGTAGGGCAAGAAATGGCATCAGAACTGCTCTAGAATCAAGTTTTTAAAAAAATTGGAAATACTGCTGTAGAACTATTACTGAAACCCTGTGAGGACTATAGAACTGAACTACGTAGACTGAGAAATGTCATCCAGAACTCTTCTACACTTTATTTTTTCCCAAGATAGATTTTGACATTGAAAACTTTGAAACATAAACAATAACACTTGATCCTGATTGGTCGCAAAATGAGGTGTTTCTGCAGGTTGACATCAGTTTTACAATAGCGACCAATAAGCGGCATTGTTTATGTTTCAAAGTCGACAATGCCAAAATCTATCTTGGAAAAAAATAGAGCATAGAATCAATTAAGGGTGCGGCTTGAAATTAGCACTCCTATTTTGTTTTTTTAAAAAATACATAACTTCCACTAGTTCCACTGCAGAACTATTACCGCATCCTCTAGTTTGTGAATTGTGTAAGTATGTCACAAACAGAAATGTGTATTCTCTTTAGGATTTTTCACAGTTCTGAGTAGCACTTTATATCAATCAATCAAAAATACTGCTTTGATATTTTTCTATTGAAAATTACTTTTAGAAGCTAGAACTAAGGGCAACTCAGAGGTGCTACTTGAAATACAACAGTTCTAATCATTAGGTATGTATTTGATTCCTTTTGCAGCCAAAACGTTTATTCTCTATAAGCTTCCTTCATAGTTCTGAATAGAAATTTCTAGTATTTTCATTTCCTTCTATTAAAATTTATTTTTCCAAGCAATCAAAGCAAGAACTCAGGGGTGCTGCTTGAGAAATAACAGTTCTCAGCCTCAAAACTGTATTTGATCGCTCTTTTAGCCAAAAGGTTCATTCTCCATAGTTTTATTTCGGAGTTCTGAATAGCACTATTCAGCAGTGTTGCCACAAGCTCTTTCTTTATTGGGGCAGATTACGGCAAGATAGCGGGGTAGAATAGAATCGGTGCGGGGTAGCGACAAAAATTTTACCTACGAGCGTGCGGAAAGTAGCACTTTACCGCATACTGTACGGTAAAGTTACTTTACCACATAGTGTACGGTAAAATTACTTCACTGCAAAGCGTACGATAAAATAGACTAAACTTTGCTAATAATATAGGTAAAATTTTGTATTTAACACATGCGTAAAGTATCACTTGCCGCATTTCTAAGGTGAATAACTATGATGTTCTTACATAATTTCCTGCTTGAAGGGACAAGGGACACTGATATTCAAAGGTCACACTAAAAAAAAACCTAAAAACTAAAATAAAGAATATAAAAATATTTGTTAGGGGTACTATATGCTGGCGCTAACGTTGGAGGAATATCTAAATGAGGATATTTCAATAAATAAATTGTGTCACATAATTTTGATTTTGTAAGTATTTTTATTTAGCTATAAACAAATGCATTCTTTTTGTGTTATAGCATTGTATTGAGAGCGGGGTAGATTTAGTTGAGGGGAGCGGCAGGGCGAGATTGTTTTCAAAAGGGGTAGATCTACCCCGAACGGGGTAGCTTTGGCAACACTGCTATTCAGTATTTTATTATCCTTTTTTTAAAAATTACTTTGTTTGCCTTATTCAGAAAGGTGACTAGCGCAATTGTGAGAATCTTGTCTTTTTTGTTGTTGTTCAGAACTATGATATCTATATTGTGTCAAGATCTATAGAAGTATAGTGCGTAGACCAAGAAATATCATCAGAACTCCCCTAAAGTCAATTAAGGGCATGAAGTTAGCACCTCTACTTTGTATTTCAGAAAATATCAACTTCTTAGTCAGTTTTAAATTAGTAATCCGTATGCAACTTTGTGAAGCAATATAGTGCTATAAGGTACCTGTCCCAAATAAGGCCACATTAAGAGGTTTTATTTTTTCCCAGCATTAGCCACCAAACCCAACAAAAATTACGGGCTTATATGTGAAGTGTTTCGCTTCTATTACTTGAATATTAACTCCAATTTATTTAGTTTTTTATATAAGTGCTGGTTTTTGCGTAAAACAAAGATGCTTACAATTGGCCTTATTTGGATCACTATGCTCCTAATAAGGCCACCATTGAAAAATGTTTAAAATAAATACAATTATTTATAAAAATATTATTATTTGAGCAATAGTACACAAACTAGAACTTATACGTTTGCTGCATTCCTAAAAAAACAATAATTCCAAGTCCTGGGGTGGTGATCCAAATAGATCTACATACAACTAGGACAAATGAACCGCAGCATCTCTTGCTTGGTTAGACTCCAGCAGGCATTTCGAAAAATATCACTGAGGCACTGAGGTATATATATGACACATTCTTTAAAAAAGACACTGTGATGTGAGGGAAATGAACATTTTTCGTATGATGGCCTTATTAGGAACATGTTAAATTGATAAAAAAAAAGTCTGTAACTAGAAATCTAGCAAAGACATTATTCTGTACTTACTCTGTAGTTTTCTCAATACATAAATGTCCATGTAAAAATTACATTCGCTCCGTTCACTTTATGAACATGTGTATAAACCAATTAAGTTCCAGCCTCAAAGTTATAACGTGACATATGAAATATGTGGTAGGCCATTTCTCGAGTTGCTAGGAACCCTCGAAATAATTTTTGATTTGCATTATAGAATTCTTTTTTAATAATATTGTAATTTTTGAAAATGGGATTCAATATTGAGCAATAAAGGGCACTGGCCTTATTAGGTACATGGCCATATTTGGGTCAGGTATCTTACATCAAAATTTTCGGAAAAATATCAGTAGCGTAACTTGATATCAGGGGGCCTCGGTGCAAGATTAGATCAGCCCCCCGCCATTGACCCCGCCGGAGTTTTCTTTGGGTGCCACGCCCAAAAACGGTAATTTTAAGTCTACAAAAATAGTATATTGTTTGGAAAAGTGACACATTTTCGGCCGATGGTGTAAATTGTAGTATATTAAATTGTTTAATTGTTAGAATCAGCTTTAAAGCTGTAAAGTTGTAAAATGGGTTGCCGTTGATAAATAAATAAATAAATTGACGGGCGAGGCGCAGCCGAGACCCGCAAACACCGTACATTTCTTCTGAAATAAACATACTATCTTTTCTGCGATCGCTTAGTAATGGAAAAAATAAGGAATGCTCCTGTGTTGTTCCTAAAAATCAGCACACTTTCCCGGCCTAGGCCGGAAAAATAATTCCCGTACTGTTATCCATCGATTCCTTAGCAACCATTGAAAATACCAATGAAAATACCAAATACCAGAACGTTGAGTTTTACGACCTGTCAACCAGTCAAAAATGATGACATTTCTTGTCAATCGCAGAAAAACATATTTTTTTTTTAATCAAATTACATATTACGAATTTAATAAAATAGGTAGGTACTTATAACAAATAAAGGGCCCCTCAGGTCTCGGGGGCCTCGGTGATCCGCACCGAACTGCCCTATGATGTTACGCCAGTGAAAAATATGTAGATTACGAATATCATTGGGGCGTGACCTGTAGGGGTGGCAGAAGGGAAAAAAATACCCCTAAACCACCCCTACGTGAAAAAAATGTTTTAGCTGCAACAAGATAGTAGAAAATGCTTCCATTTGGTAGGGAATTCCTAAAAATTAAAAAAAATAAATATTTTTTCGAATAAATGGTCATAGGTTTCGGGATATCAGAAGCTCTTAAAATCTGAAATAAAAAATCCAGGGTCGTATTTCACACGTTAGGACAGTGAACATTTTTGTAAGATACCAATTTATGCAGACGCTGGACGGCGTTCTGTTTCTATTTGTGGAGGGAAACTGCGAATGTAGATAAATTTCACATGTATGACACAACGGCACTGATAGTCGAACATATTGTGACAGTCGCGATTGGATGGATTCACATTAAATTGTATGGTAAATACAAACGCTGAACGTCGCCGGCGTCGTGTCATTTTCAACCATCAATCTAAAGACGAATATCAGCGTTGTGTCAAATCACAACTTCAGGAAATGACGCTGATCTGCGTCTCTGTCCTTCAACGTGTTAAAACAATAAAGCTGATGATGGTGGCCCAAAGACGAAACGTCAAATCTCAAAATTTATAATGTGATCTTGAAGAGTAGGAAAACTGGTGACGATGAAGTGATAGTTATCTTGAAACCTTTCCTCAAATAAGCAACTTTTTTCCTATTTAACCATTGCCGCATCTGCTACTGTTTACGAGATCCCCATGATAAGACATCCTTACTGCATAAAGTAAAAATAAAATAAAATTATTCCTCATCAAATTCCCTAACCAGAGCATAGTCAGAATCAGTGCCATAGGTTGTTTTTTCATCTGCTTCAGTATTTGAACAACATTCTGGATCAACTTCACATTTAGACATTTCCGTGCAAAGTAGATTTTGTGCTGAACATTTGCATCTTTGAGAACAATTAAGTTTTTTTTTCTTTTACAGGAACATTTTATTAGATTAATTATTTTTTCAGGTGCGCAGGGAAGACTACACATAATCGGTTCAAATTCCAATCAATCAGTGCCAAATTTCCAAACGTAATTGGTTAGAGGTGATAAATTGGGGGGAGCCTGTGTATCCCGATTCCATTCAATGCACTGAGTGGCATCTACTGTCATTTTCTAGGCTGCTCGAGTGGACGGCATATTTTCGGTCGAAACTTGCCTCTGCGAGAACAACCACCATCTCAATTCTGCTCGGCTTTTCACACTTTTCTTGGACAATGAATATATTGAACAAATAAACAACTCAATCTGCTTCATATCAGAGTCACTTAACGTTTCACTTTTGCCTAAAGATGCCAAAGCCTGACTCATGGATGGAGCTGCTCCCAAAAACTAATTTTACCTTTTCCTTTGAAACTTCCTGTGATATCAGCACCCGAGAAGCTTGGTTGAAGCTTACAATTGCTGGGCATTATACTTTTTCTCCATTTGTACCAAATAATCTTTTTTTTTAAATTCTTTTGTAACATTCAAGGTGCCATTTCACTTTCATGTCTTTTATTTTATCCGATGTGAACTGGTCAGCTGTTAAACTAAGTATCGGTACATCTTGCTACTGTTTCGGATCCCATTTCTTGATTTTCACCAGAGTTTCAGCAAGGGTATTAAGGCAATCTGCGATGGACCTTTAACGAATCCTTTATAATAGACCCTGAGATAGGGCCTACTTAGTGGAGTCATTTTTTTTGTCTGGCATTTTGAGGGATGAATGTGACTAGTTAGCTGATGAGAATTTAAGTGGTTCTAATGCCTGCCCCCTGTCCGAATAGTACGGGATACGAGGCCCATTTCATCAAATCATTTTACACCATCTTGCATTGTTATCATCAGCTAGATAACATGATGCTGAAATGCACTTTTGCAGGGAAATAGATGGGAGTGGGGGATTTCGCTGAAAAAAATATTTCAGAAAATGTCGTCATAAATAAGGAAAATATATAATTATACACTGTCTTGCATTTATTTATTGAGTTAATTTGTACACAAACAAAATTGGATTAACACATGCAAGACGTTTTCATGGAGGTTTCGAGGATGTAATATTAGATAGAAATTGTCAATTTTTCAGAGGGGTGAAATATCATTTCACACCAATTCATTGTTGATTTAGATTTAAGCTTGAATGTAGAAGAGCCACTGGATACTGATGCAAGACGTCCTGTGGAGGGATAACGGGCTGCAAGACGGAGGTCAATATGTTGTCTTATAAAGGAGTGAGAAATCATTTTACACCGTTTTGCACTGGTACTAATGGGAAAAACAGAACACATTGATAAGATTTTTAAAAATACAAGACGTTCTAAATTGAAAGAAAGGACTGCAAGACGGTGATGAAGTTGACTAATTTTGACGGGGGTCAATCCATCAGGTACAAAGGTGAATACTACTCCAAATTACAAATTACGCACATTAATATTAAATATTTTTGCTCTTTACCACGAAGAATAATTCTATTGCGCAAAATTCTCCTAATAATATGTATATTTGAATGTCTCTACGGACATCAAATGAATAAAGGTTGAAAATTATTCTTATTCTGACGGCTTATAATCATTTAAGTTTTTTTTAGGTGGATATGCCATAACACATAACGGATTGTAAGTATTAGGAATTGTAGCTATTCTACATTCAAGCTTTAATCTAAATCAACAATGGAGTGGTGTAAAATGATTTTTCACCCCTCTCACAAATTGACAAATTCCATCTTCTATTGCAACCCCAAAACCCCCATGAAAACGTCTTGCATGTGTTAATCCAATTTTGTTTGTGTACAAATTAACTCAATAAATAAATGCAAGACAGTGTATAATAAATAATATATTTTCCTCGTTTATGATGACATTTTCTGAAACATTTTTTTCAGCGAAATCCCCCACTCCCATCTATTTCCCTGAACAAGTGCGTATCAGTACCATGTTATCTTACTGATGATAACAATGCAAGACGGTGTAAAATGATTTGATGAAATAGGCCTCGTATCCCATACTAGAAATGTCCACAGAATGTTTCGACTGAAAACTCGATTTCGAACTGTGATTACCGTCTGGCGATTTTTCAGCGTTATTTTCACAACAAAACCTTTTATTCTCTCGATTGCCAGACAAAAAGTAAACGCGGAAGGTTCTTTTCTTATCTCTTGGAAGTTGACACCCATCCCCACTTTTTCAGCTATTGAAAAGCAACTGGTATTTTTCATGGGTGAATTATTTATCAATGTCAGTCTTTTATTTAAAAACCAAAAAATTTGAGATCATTAAAAAAAAAATCTTCATGTAAATCAATTTTTTTCTTCTGCAAATTTTCGAACGAGAGGCAGGCATTAAAATCACCCATATTCTCATCAGCTTAGTAGCCACATTCAGCCCTCAAAATGCCAGACAAAAAAAAATGACTCCACTAAACAGCCCCTATCTCACAGTCTATAAGTCTTTAGAGTACACAAGCAACACTTATCACTACTCAAGGTTTTTTAACACTTAGTTTCTTAATAGCTTCCAGATTGCCGCCTAAGAAGTTTCATTTCAAAAATAACACTTTCGCTTTAACAAAAATGATAAATAATACCGTTGATTGATAATACGAATACTCGGATGTGTGTTTTGAAAAGGGCATTGTTTGTACCACGGCTGACAGACGCCTGGGAGGCCACGATTATCACATTACAATATTTGCATGTTGTTTGACTATTGTTGTTAGTTGTAACAGTTAATTAAGTAGTTGCCTAAGAAGCTATGTTATGAAATCACCCCCTCGATCAGGGGATGGTTTCATAATATTTTTAAAGATCTCATCGACGTTACCTGAAACAGAAGTCGTGAATACTATGAAATCCATTTATAATAAAGGAAATATGTTTTTGAATAATATACGTAAGTAGTCGTAGTAGGTACTTTGCATACTACTGCATAAAGTAGCATAAAGATGCGGGACGGAGACGGAACGCAAGCGTGACGGAGTCATAGCGCTTCCTGGCGTAATGTGCTTGGAAGCTAGTGCTTTCCTCAAAGGCGACGCAACATGGGCGGTTCAGCAATCCGTGTGTGAAAATAGGCTATTTTTTATTTCAACAGACATACTGCCACAGCCACACTAAAATCAATCAACAACTCACTTTGCTCTTCTGTAAAACTCGATATTTTTAAATTTATAATATTCCGTCCGTGTTGCGCTCCGTTGAAGTTGCCTGTCGACCGACCGGTGGCGTGATTCCGCTAGCGTCAAAAAAACTGCGCTCCGCCGCCGTCGCGCCACCGCTGCTTAGGAAAGCACATCTACATATTTTTAATGACGGCAACGTCTGCGGCACCCGTTCCGTCTCCGTCCAGCATCCGAGGAAAGCGAGCCATAAGGATGGTTCTCACCCTTCTGTCGGCATTGCGAGATACGCCCCATTAAAATTAGTAATCTACACATTTTCCTAAAAATTTTAAGGTATCGCATGATATTGCTTCACTAAGTTGCACACGGGATATGATATTTGTACAATTCAAAACTGACTATCTACTGCAGAACTACTACTGCAACTGACAACTACAGTATGTAGACCGAGAAATGTCATAAGAACTCCTCTAGAATCAATCAAGGGTTCATGAAGTTAGTACCCCTATTTTTGTTTTTCAAAAATATTCAAATTTCACTGCAGAACTATTACTGTACTCCTCGAAGAACTATAGAATTCTTTCCAAAAAGGCAAAAACTCATGAAAAAGTTGAGGGTGTTATAAATTAGGGTGCTAACTGTGTCATTTGATAGTTATCTGAAGATAGCTGTGGCTCTTTTGAAATAATTGAAACCCCCATTCTGTAAAGGTGGGTAACCATGATGGGGTGCACCTGACTACCGAGTTTGTTATACCAATGACCAATTGTGTCATTTGTATTTCTCCTAATCAAATCCTTAGACTTTATGGATTCACTTCTATTATCTCTTGATTTTTGTTCACTCTTCAATATTTTGCTGCTTGATTTCTTCCTTTAGAAGTGCAATCTCCTTGCTGTAACTCCTCCATGGTTGCTTGGTGAAGCTTTTTTCTTTTTTAGTTGTGTCCAATTCAGCTGTATTGGACTACATTTCAATTTTAGGTCAGAATATTTCACTTCTCTCTATTGCAAATTTTGTCTGGTCTCCATCAACTTTGCTGTGGTCAAGTTGGAATTTTCAGATTGATTCTTCATTTGTGCTGCATAATCAATACAAAAGCAATGTTTCAAGACCTTTCCTGGTGGTTTGCATTGAAGGAATTGAAAAGGACTTCAATTTTGCTGACTTGCTATGTATTGTATATGAACCCAAACCAGACCCGGCAGTCAATTGTACCAAAAGCTGTATTATGCCAGGCGTAACACAACCAAGAGAATGCTAGACTAGCTTTGACTGTATTTCTCTTTACTTCAAGCTTTTGAGATAAGGCTAATAAGGCACCCATAATAAAGTCAACAATAATGTTGCAAATATCAAATTTTAATGAATTATTGTCAAGGCACTATCAGACTTGAAGTTAGAAGTGCTAGAACTAAAGCAGGAAACTCCCACAAAGACTAAAATTTAGATGTTAAAACAACGAATCTAATGACACTAAACAGTTCCAATTGAAATGCTCAACTAGTCCAAGATGGAAGGATCAAAAACAAGAAAGACCACAAACATCAAACAAAATACAAACTGCAAAGCAAAAGCTAACATGCTCAAATTAAAGGCGCATTTTTTGCGATAATTTCTAATGATCCTTACAAGTCCTTTCATCATAGGAGAACCAAAAATTTTCAAATTTCCTGTAGTAAATACTTACCAATGGAAATGCAGGACACATGCAACAGCAAATGCATTATCCAAAATGTTATTCGGATAGAGAAAAGTAGCAGGCACGAGACCTAACAACAGAAAGGAGATAATTTTTTCGATGGTCCATATTTTTCCGTGGTCCCCCGACATATTTCTCTTGGCCTGTTGTCCGACATTTACAAATTGGATTTTGCATTTGTTGGCGAGCGACAACGAATTGGTATTTTTGCTGACGACCAACTGAGTGAAATTTTGAGCTTTCTGGATACGAAAAGTGCATCTTGGCAAGGCAGCAAATCCTGAAAATAAACATTTTAGAGTTATGTAATGGAAAAGTGAAGTTTGGTTAGGATTTTTATTTATAATGGTGGTGAATAATTAATTAATTACCTCGTAGCTTGGGGATGTTTCTAGCCAGTAATGAGAGTGCCATTTTTTTGTTATTTCAAAGAAGAAAAATTTAGCAAAAGTTTGAAATATTTTTCAAACAAAATATATAAAATGACAAATTTGATCTGCCTGCCAGTGCAATGTCATATGTCAAAACCACGTCAAAACTATTTCTATTTTTTTGCTTGGTGATTAATAGTGTTAATTCGTTTATCCAACTTTTTTACTCTTATTGATCCGAACTGCGACTTTATTCACTTTGGGGCAAACCACGGCAAACCAATATCAGTTCACAGTCGTTCTAATCTAGGTTTGTTTGGGTTCACGGAAACTGTTCTAAAACTGTCCAGAGTAGGAGCAGTTAAGGTCTTCTTAGAAATCACAAACCAGTCAGAGCATTTTTGATTGGTGCAAATCACCAACAACCAGTTTTCTGACTATTTTCAACCAATGAAATTTGCACTGATTGGTTTGTGATTTCTGCTGTATGATAAAAATAAGATCTGTTTTTTTTTTTAAAGATAATTCCCCAAGTCAAAAATTTAGTAACTATGTTGGCAACACAAGCCTTTTCTACATGAAAAATTTGAAATCATAGACAATTTTACATTGTATTGCCAACCTAATGTCAGTTTGACTTTTATCTTTAAAAAAAAAAACGCACACATAATTCCGAACGTTATGAATTCAGATTCTCAAAATCAGAAATATCGTATCGAAAGTATCGATATTTTCTTATATTAAATTATCAATTAGCTTTAACTATTGAGAAACCGGCCCTCAGCCGAGCTCCTTTTACATCTGCGAGTTAGGCTGGAGTCTCATGCATCCGTCTTCCGACGAAAGATGTCCGAAAAACCTTCTATTCTGACATAATCGTATAAAAATATGTCAAAATCGAACATTTTTCGGACATCTTTCGTCGGAAAACGGATGCCACACCGGAATGACTCGCATTCAGGGCTGCCAGTGCCATATGTATTTTTTTTACTGCTCACAAAATATAAAATCTGTTTTTTTTTTCAAGATAAAAGTCAAAATGACATTATGTTGGCAATACAATGTAAAATTGTCAATGCTTTCAATTTTTTCACGTAGAAAAGGCTTGTGTTGCCAACATACCTTGCGTGAGAGCAGAGCGTGCTGGGCGGAGTCGTAATCACAGCCGCTTTCCAGTTGGGAGTGTGACGCCCGGAGCTACTCGAGGCGTTGTGCTCCCGAGCTGTACGTACGCGTCAACCTATCAGCTGTCACATCCGTGGGACTCGTGGGAGGCTATTTATTTATTTATTTCTTTTTATATCTCAAGATTGAACATTTTAAAAAATATAGTTTTGATATTGGTTTTGATTCTCTTTCATTTTTGATAAATAAAATAACAATTTGCACAAACAAACAGATAATTATTTTTTTTTACTACTTACCTGAGAAATAGTCATTATTCAATCTATTTTTCTAGGAAAAAATTGAATTTCTCTCCCTAGGTGAATAATGAAAATAATGAAAAAGTCCCTAGGTCAATAATGAAAATGACGTCATGACGCAAGGATATTGTCATGTTTCTATTGGTCCAATTTCAATTTCATGCGTCAATTTAAAACAAAATACAGGTTTCTGTAGGTGCATAGGAAGTTATCATAAGCTGTTGATAGAGGGCAGCACTTTCAAGAGGGCGTTCAAAAAAAAAAATAATTAGAGCACAGATTTTAAGCAAATTTTTTATTTTCTACTAGCAGTAGTAAAAAAAATTCTATATATTCCTCGGTAGAGAAAGTCATTATATACCTCACGCATTATAAACCTCGGCGCTTTGCGCCTCGGTTTATAAAAGCGCTCGGTATATATAATGACCAACTTCTCTACCTAGGTATATAATATACTATTATTTGCAATCATATATGTAATCTTGTAGTCAACCATCCAAGGACCCTTTTTTTCAGTTATACATGTAAACCCCATACTTTGTGAGTGGCTTGCTTACATCAAGTCCTACAACTTTTCCTCTACGACTTTTCTCGGAAATGGCACGTATGCGCGCAGGCGACTCGCAAACATGTCGATCTGACGTGTTTCCTGATACATGTAGGTAAATCTAATTTTACGAATACTGTTTGATTTTTATGTCTAAATCACGGAAATCAACTTGGCCGACAAAAATAATGGCAAATTGGGGGAGTCCGATACCCCCAAAATGTCGATCTGACGTGGTTATGTTTCTTGATACATGAAAATCTAATTTCACGAATATAATAATGTTTGATTTTTATTTCTAAATCACGGAAATCAACTTGGCCGACAAAAATAATGGCAAATTGGGGGAGTCCGATACCCCTAAAATGTTTGCGAGTCGCCTGCGCGCATACGTGCCATTTCCGAGAAAAGTCGTAGAGGAAAAGTTGTAGGACTTGATGTAAGCAAGCCACTCACAAAATATGGGGTTTACATGTATAACTGAAAAAAAAGGTCCTTGGATGGTTGACTATTGTCATTACTGACTTTTTAAAAATTTGGAAGTGACACTTTCCTCTTCGATTTCCCTCACCGATTTCCCTATTCGACTTCCCTCACCGATTTCCCTCACTCTATTTACCTTTGCTGGCAACAATCAGAACATGTCAGGTAAAAACGTCAAAACAGGTGAATGACATATTTTGGCATGTTTGTTTTATTTTTTCAATATTAAAAAAATTGAATTACTGATCATAATTAATGGTGTGCTTGCAAATAAAATAGTATACAAATCTCGGAGGAAAGTTTTCATTTCTGTCTCGAGATTAATAGTCAATCTATCGACAGTAATGAAATACTTCCCTACTCGGTATAATATACTATTAAAATCTGACATATTTGACACTAATGGCGTTTCCGATTGGTAGATCTAGTGCGGAACTAGTGCAATTTTTTCAATTTCTGTCTTTTTCTTCTACAGGTTGATTAAAAGGATGCAAATACACTCAGTGCGCACTGAATCTACCAATCGGAAACACCATAAAACAGGCGTCTCACGCCATGATACTGGAACGGTACAAATCTAGTGCGTGGCGCCCCCGAGGTGCTCTAGAGCGCGCCAGAGCGCGCCAATGTGCATACTGGAAAGCGGCTCACGTGACCAGTGAGCGAACAGAGCAGGGTTGCGTTCAAGCACGGCAATGCTAATGCCAAAACCTACTTTTCCCCCTCCACCTGTATGTAATGCCGAACCACGTAGGTTGGAGCCGAAATCGAACGCAAAATGCCAATTTTGGCTTGGCTGTAGTCATTCCTGTACGAAGCCCAGTTGAACGATAAAAGTGCCAGAAATTTTAATAAACGAACGCGAATGAGGCTGCACCGAGTACACTTTTTAAATAAACGAACGGTAAAGTCAAGCTCGGAGTTATGAAATTTATGACTCGTTTGTTATCATGAACCATTATGAATTATTATGATCTTTTATATATTATGAAGTTTACCATATTTTGCTTATGATATTGTCGCGGCTTTGGGTTGCCTGCTGACAAAAATCTTGGGTTCGTTGTTCGTTTCGTTTATTCCAAAAAATCAAAGTCCAATTAACACAGCAATAATTTATTCCACTTAACAAAACACTCTGACACTAATTACTTTATTAACAAACTCAACAATTCAACTCTTTACAATCACTATTTAAATCGTATCACACTCGAACTGAAACTAAACTACAAACCAATGCCGGCCTTCTTATATATCCCTAAATCTATTCCTGTAAAATCTAGAATACACGATAATATTATTTTCCCGAATTAAGTAGAATAATTCACTAGATTCTAGTATACTCAAGAGATAATACCGAGAGATTCTTGACAGCCTGGCGGACGTTTAGCTTATTGTGACACTGCCCTCCTCTTAAGGTCCCGATCAACTTCTCGCCCATGATATTTCGCCAACCTGTCCAGATGTACAGCTTTCATCTTACTCCTGGTGTTGCGCTGGACTCGATAAACCAAATCATTGATCCTCTTGATTACTCTATAGGGTCCTTCCCATACTGAAGACAATTTCGGCGATACTCCTTTCTTCCTTGCTGGGGTATACAACCACACTAAATCACCTTCTTGAAATCCGACCGAATTGGCTTTCAAGTCGTATCTGGTCTTCATTCGGTCACTGGCTAGTTGAATATGCTCCCGAGCAAAATCATGGATACCCAGAAGTCGTGCCCTTACTTCGTCGGCATAATCTCGGATTTCTCTTCGTTCTTCTTCGGGTACTCCAAACATCAGATCGCAAGGTAACCTGAGTTCCCTTCCAAAAACAATTCTAGCCGGACTTTCACCTGTTGAATCGTGAACAGCCGCTCTGTAAGCCATTAAAAATAGAGGCAAATGCTTGTCCCAATCTCGTTGGTTCTTTGCGACCACTTTTGTCAGGTGTTCCTCTATGGTCTTATTGAATCGTTCCACCATGCCATCAGATTGAGGGTGTAAAGGTGTTGTCCTTGTCTTACGAATGCCCATGATCTCACAAACTTTCTTAAAGATAGCAGATTCGAAGTTTCGTCCCTGGTCTGAATGTAACTCTAGTGGCACACCATGACGACTAAAAACTTCGTCCACTAGCACCTGGGCAACAGTGATGGCTTCTTGATTGGGAATAGCGAAAACTTCTGGCCATTTACTGAAGTAATCCATGATAACTAAGATGTATTTGTTACCACGCTCTGACTCTGGGAACGGTCCTGCTACATCTATCGCTATTCTCTCAAATGGAAGACCAACGTTGTACTGTTTCATGGGCCCTCGAGATCTTAGTTTAGGGCCTTTACTGGTAGCACAGATGTCGCATTTTCGGCACCAGCTTTTAACGTCTTCATGGTAGTGAACCCAGTAAAAACGTTCCCGAATTTTGTCCAAAGTCTTGTTAACTCCGAAATGTGCCCCTGAGGTTCCGTCGTGTATTTCTTTTAATACATCTTCCACTCGGTCTTTTGGGATTACCAGTTGGCTCTTAGTGGATTTCCCATCGGCACTTTCCCAAACTCTTTTGAGCAAACCATTTTCTACGGCCAGAGAGTTCCACTGGGCCCACAACGCCTTGTAAATCAAGCTTTTGTTTGACACTTCCCCCCATTCTGGCCTACATTCATCATTTTCTTTAAGATGTAGAATTTGCCCGATGTCCTGGTCTGCCTCCTGATCTT